TATTTACTAATTTTGTCTCTCTTACTCTCCAATGTATTTGTTTCTTATTTTAGTCTAAGTAATCATACACTAATACAAAAATACATTTAACTTGTACCAAAATTACAAATATATTTTACACATACAATTCTTTTATACATAAAGTCAAATAACAAAAATATATCAAAATCTTTTGCAAACTTCCACTAACGAATAAAATATTATTATTACTTAATTTACAACAAAACTACAAAACCCTTTGGAGTGGGATGGAGAGAGTATTAAATTGTCCTCTAATTATAAATTTTTCATTGTATTTTATTTTCTTTGTATCAAAGAGATTTGAAGAAGACAGTGTTTGGCCTTTAGAATTCGAAAGCTGATTTGCCCACGATCTAAACTTTATCTAAACACAAAATATTCTCATCTTAATAAGCATGGAAAGATACTTCATCAAACAAAATGCTAATATAATGTGTATATTCATGTGGAAAATCCGCTCATGAATAGGGCACAATACTTGTACAGCCATTCACACATCGACCATGACGGTTGTGTTCTCTTAGGGTGTGTTTGTTTGAGGGTTTGGTTTTTGAGTTGAGATTTGAATAGTAAAAATTTTGAATTTAAATAGTTGTATGATGTGATATAAATAGGTGTTGATGTGATGTTTTGAATGTAAAATTGATTTTTAGTATAATATAAAAAATGAAAAATAGGTGTTTAATTTTTCTATACTATATTAACAATTAATTTTATATTCAAAACATAACATCAATTCATATTTCAATCACATTATATAACTATTCTAATTCAAAATTTTTACTACTCAAATTCCAAATCAAAATCCAAACCCTGAGAATGAAAAAAAAAAAAAAGAGAAGAATCGTATAGTGTGTTTGTTTTTTAACTATTTTTTGTTATTTTATTTTTAATATGAATTTTGTTGTTATATTATTATAGGATTAACCAATAGAAATATTAATTATTCCTACCGCTAACTACTATTTTATATTTTGTATATAATATATAATATATGTATATATGTGTGTATCGTATATATATAATATATATATAAGTGAGTTATTATTATATTTATATATAGTGCATAGATAGATATATTATATAATACTTAATACTGCAAGTGAAAATGGAGAGAACTAGGCAAACAAGTAAGAGATTAAGGGAGTAGATTAATGTATATTGCATTTTATTTCAAACTTATACACATACATATAGACAACTTATACCAATAGCAAATGTCCACGTCTATATATATTAAACATCCATACACTATGCCTATGAGGTGATACGTGTATACAACGTATGCATGCAATACTCCCCCTTGGATGTTTTTATATACGAAGAATGTGTCTCGTTAAAACCTTATTAGGAAAAAATTCTGTGGAACAAAAAAAATCCTAGTGAAGGAAAAATAGTACAACATTCTTGTATCAATTTGCTCTCCCTGATCTAGACATTATTTAAGATCCCTGAACCGATGCATTCCAATTTTTTTTACCAATTTTTCAAATGTTGCAGTCGGTAATGCCTTGTTAATATATCCGCCAAATTATTATCTGATCGAATTTGTTGCACATCAATTTCACAATTCTGCTAAAGATCATGAGTAAAAAAGAATTTTGGTGAAATATGTTTCGTTTTATCTCATTTAATGTAATCCCCTTTCAATTAGGCTATACAAGCCGTATTATCTTCATAATGTAATTAGGGGAATTTTATCGTCAGGTATTAACCCGCAATTTTTTAGAATATGTTAAGTCATTGACCTCAACCAAACACATTCTCGACTAGCTTCATGTATTGCCAATATTTCAGTATGATTTGAAGAAGTGGCAGTTAAAGTTTGTTTCATCGATCTCCAGGAGATCACAGTTTCACCATAAGTAAATATGTAGCCAGTTTGTGACTTGGCTTTATGAGGATCAGATAAATATCCTGCATCGGCAAAACCAATCAATTCATGTCGAGAATCTTTCGAGTAAAATAACCAGAGATCAATTGTTCCTTAGAGATAACGAAAAATGTGCTTAATCCCATTCCAATGTCTTCGAGTAGGCGATGAACTGAATTTTGCCAATAAATCTACAGCAAATGATATGTCAGGTCGGGTGCTGTTAGCAAGATACATCAATGCGCCTATAGCACTCATATATGGCACTTCTGGACCAAGTGTTTCTTCATTTTCCTTTTTTGGTCTAAATGGATCCTTTGCTAGATCGAGTGCCCTGACGATCATTGGGGTACTTAGCGGATGTGATTTATCCATCATGAATTGTTTCAGTACTCTTTTGGTATAATTTGATTAGTGGATAAAGATTCCACTTTCCAAGTGCTCAATTTGTAAACCAATGCAAAATTTGGTTTTTCCAAAATTTTTGATCTCAAATTCCTTTTTCAGATATTCAACAGCTTTCTGGATTTCATCAGGAGTTCCAATCAAATTGAGATCATCGACATATACAGCGATGATTACAAATTCATACCCATTTATCTTTATAAAAACACATGGACAGATAGGGTAATTTATATAACCTTCTTTGGTTAAGCTTTCGCTGAGACGATTGTACCACATTCGGCCTGATTGCTTGAACCCATACAAAGATTTTTGCAATTTGATGGAATATGATTCTTTTCGCTTTGATTTGAATGATTCAGGTATGTTTATCCCTTCTGGGATTTTCATATAGACATCATTGTCTAAGGAGCCATAAAGATAGACAGTAACCACATCCATTAATCGCATATCAAGATTATTGTGTACTGCCAGGCTCACCAGATACCTTAATGTTATTCCATCCATGACCGGCGAATATGTTTCTTCAAAATCAATACCCGGTCTCTGGGAAAAACCCTGGGCTACAAGTCTTGCTTTATATCTTGTGATATCATTATTTTTATTTCTTTTTCTCACAAACACCTATCTGTAACCAACAAGTTTCACATTTTCCGGTGTTTGGACTATAGAGCCGAATACTTGCCGTTTTTTCAATGAGTCCAATTCAAACTTAATTGCGTCTTTCTATTTTGCCCAATCATCTCTTTGCCGACATTCATCAACCGATTTTGGTTCATAATTCTCGTTATCTTTCATTATAGTATAGTTAACAGAAGTTTCAATAACTTCATCATCACTTTCATCAGAATTTTTAGTATCAACCTCTTCAGGGGTTGTACTGACCTTTTCAGTTATCTGATCATTGTTGATCTCTTCACCAGTATTTACAATTTTCTTCTTTCGTGAATTCTTATCCTTGGAACCCAACGGCCTGCCACGTTTTACGCAAGTAGTATGCTCATTAGCACTCGACTCATTCCCTTCTGGGATATTTATTTTGGTTGGTGCATTTGCTGCTGCAATATATGATTTTGTAATTCTTGCAGCATCATTAAAAGCATCAGGCAATTGATTTGCAATTTTCAGCAAATGCACGATTCTTTGAACTTCAAGTTCACTATGTTTCGTACGAAGATCAAATTCAAGTGGTATTTTCCATGAAATTTCTTTTTTCAGTTGATTACTATCTCCCCCTAATATCGGGAAATGTGATTCGTCAAAATGACAGTCTGCAAATCTTGCAGTAAATAAATCACCCGTTGTTGGTTCAAGATATTTTGCAATTGAGGGTGATTCATTCCCGACATATATACCCAACCTTCTTTGAGGTCCTATTTTCGTGCGTTGAGGTGGTGCAATTGGAACATAAACAGCACACCCAAATATTCGCAGGTGAGATATATTTTGTATTTTTCCAGAAACCAATTGAGTAGGGGAATAACAATGATAACTTGTCGGCCTTATTTTCACGAGGGCTGCTGCATGCAATATAGCATGTCCCTAACATGATACGGGAAGTTTAGACCTCATTAATAATGGTCTAGCAATTAATTGTAATCTTTTGATAAGGGATTCAGCGAGACCATTTTGCATATGTACATGGGGAATAGGATGTTCCACAATAATCCCAATTGACATGCAGTAATCATCAAATGTATGTGATGAATACTCTCCAGCATTATCTAGACGTATTTTCTTTATCGCGAGATCTGAAAATTATGCTCGCAATTTAATTATTTGTGCAAGTAGTCTAGCGAAAGCTAGATTGCGAGTAGATAACAGACATGCGTGTGACCATCGCGTTGACGCGTCAATTAGTACCATAAAGTACTTGAAGGGTCCACACGGTGGATCTATTGGTCCACAAATATCACCCTGAATTCTTTCCAGAAAAGCTGGGGATTCAAATCCAACCTTTGTTGGAGATTGCCTCATTATTAACTTCCCTTAGGAACATGCAACACAAGCAAATTCATTCGGACTCAAAATATTTTTTTTAATGAGTGGCCATTTGAATTTTCAACAGTTCGCCTCAGCATTACATTGCCAGGATGCCCAAGTTGATCGTGCCAAGTTTTAAATTCGCTAGTAGTCATTTGGTCTACAAGGTGATATATTTAAATGGCACTGATTTTTTAGTAATATAAGTCGGAAAAAAATTATGGCAATTTTTCTTTCACAATTCTTTTGCCATTCAAAATCTGAGTTATCAGGAGATACTCATTTTCTGCCAGATTCAATGTTTCAATGTGATGCCCATTTTTCCGAATATCATTGAAGCTCAGTAAATTCCTTCGAGCTTTGCTCGAGAACAAGGCATTTTCAATTGCCATTTTTGTCCCTTTTGGGAGAAATACAGTAGTTTTTCCTGAGCCTTCAATCATTTTTTATGCACCACTAATAGTAATAATGGTGGTCTTTCCCATATTCAGGTGGGAGAAATAACATTTATTTTTCAAAATGCTGTGAGTCGTAGCACTGTCGATAAGACAGATGTTGTCATCGGCTCCAAAATATTTGGCATCCATATCTTTGCAAGAAGGTAAAAATAATAAAAGACATGTATTAGTAACATAATCAAAATAGACTTATATTATAAGGGGTAATACAAAAAGGGGGGCAAAAAGCATCAAAATAACAAAAGAGATACAACAATATTTTATCATTTAACATCATCAGCTATGTGAAGCAGATCATCGGCATCCAGGTGCGTGATATTTTCATTCATCACATCGTCAAATGTGTCATCGTGGGCAACGTGATTTGTTTCAGGGGGAAATTCTTCCCTGTCTTTCTTCTGAGGCCCGATACAGTTCAGCCAAGTGACTAGCTGTGCGACAAACATGGGCCCAATGGCCTTTTATTCCACACCGGGTGCATTCCTCGTCATTATTTATGTTTCTCCCGGTATTGATCCTCTGTTGAGGTCTGTACGGCCTTCTGTCGTTATAACGTCGATTTGGCACATATCAGGGCATGTTTTAATAATTATTGTGACTGTATGCGTTTGCCCGGCCCCGTCCGCGATTCTGATTTCGATCGCGATCAATTCGCTAATTTCTGACTTGCCCACGACCATGCACCGGAATTTCCGGTTGTATTGCATTTGCCTCTGGAAATGGATTTGCACCTGTCGGCTGAGATTCGTGATTTATCAACAGCAATTCATTATTTTGTTCGGCCAGCAAAAGACACGTGATCAGCTCAAAATGCTTCTGGAAGCCTCTTTCGCGATACTGCTGCTGCAAAACCATGTTAGAGGCATGAAAAATGGAGAAAGTTTTCTCCATCATATCAGATTCAGATACATTTTCGCCACAGTGGCGCAGCTGTGATGTTATTTTAAACATGGCAGAATTATATTATTGGACTGTTTTAAAGTCTTGAAGTCATAGGCTTTGCCATTCGCTTCGTGCCCTTGGCAACAATGTCAGCCTCAAATGATCATATCTTTCTTTCAATCTCTCTGACAATTCAAGTGGGGATTCCAGCGTGACATACTGCATTTTCAGTGCCTCATCAATGTGATGACACAAAAAGATCATGGCCTTTGCACGATCTTGGCTCGGGGAGTTTTTATCCCGGGCAATAGTATTTTCCAAGCCCATTGATGCCAGATGCATTTTAACATCGCGAGCCCATGCCATATAATTTACATAACCAGATAGGGTTGAAGATTGGTAATGTGTGATTTGAAGATCATACTCTAGAGAGAAGAATATTGAGTGAAGCTATCACATATCTATCCATATCGATTCCCTTTAGTTTTGAATGAGTTTTTTGACAGAAAAATTCGCCGGAGAGGTCGAAGGTGTTCGGAATTAATGGAGTTCCAACCGGAGGGAATGATCAAGCTCTGGAATTCTCTGTTTTGTGGTCGTTGTTAGTACAAGGTTGTAGCAACGAGAACCTTAGCAGGTATTTTCCTGGGTTAGCCACGACTAGCATTAAAGTTAAATGAGTTGTGGTTGTTTGTGTCCTTAATCAACACTAGTTAATGGAATTCCTCCTGGATTAGTATCCCCCGGATGTAGATTGGTTGATAATCGAACCGGGTCAACAAACACCTTGTCTTATTGTTCTTTTATGTTATGCATTGTTTTTCGTTGTTGAAACGTAGTTATAACTGTGAACCGCCCACGCTTCGGGAGTTGGCCCTTTAAAGTGTTAGAATGTGTTTTGTTCGATAAATCACTTCCCCAACAGAAAGGATTGACCGAATTATTTTTATGAGAAAGAGAATGAGAGGAGAGAGAAAAAAAATGAAGTGGCTCATCGAATTGGTCGGATGGAATGATGAAATAAAGGAAAAAAAAAAGTGGCAGACCGAATTGATCGAATGGAAGGATGAGAGAAATAAAGATAATGAATTATATAAATATATTTTAGGAGCCAACACTGAGGGAAGTCAATTGGCCTCACATGGGAAATATTAAAGACAGTCGTATAGCGAGAAGTCGGTTGGCCTCAAGATATGTCTACCAGACTCCTCTCAAGCGGTACGTCGGTTGGCCTCAGGAGCGTCGGCTACTGGTTGGCCGGCTTTGGAAGGGCCAGCCGCCGGGGGACCCAAAGCGAGAGCCCAATTGCCGGAGGATTTGTGGCCGGAAAGTTGGTTGGTAGTTGCTCAGGAGAAGCCGGTAGTGTGGTCGGGTAAGAAAGTCAACAATACCTTATCGATCCAGTGGTGGGTCAGAGTCATTTTGTCATAGTTGTTGGGGCCAGACTGGTCGAACGTTTGGCCCTATGGACAGTTTTCATCCGAGTTTAGAGAAAGAGAAAACGAGAGAGAAGAAAATATATATATATATATATAAATATTTGTAGATATGCAATCAATCAATTCCATAAACTCTAATTTTTTTTAAAATGTTTCTTTATATATTATCTTTTTAATCTTTTCTTTTTCTCTATTATTACAAAATTTATTCTCTATAAAATAATATACATATATACTAATATATTTTTTAAATTTGTAATTTACTTTTAAAAGAAAAGTATATGAATATAAAAATAAAATACTCTCTCTGTCCCATAAATATAGTCTTAATTGGGTTGGGCACGGGATTTAAGGAATATTGATATTATATTGGTAGTTGATAAAAATTATGGGTAAAAGACGTTTTTACCCTTGTGAGTGTATTAGTGTAAAAAATAGTGGCAATTGTGTAATAAAAATAAAAAAGTATGGGTAGTTTTATAATGATATGGTTATTTATGTAAATAAGACAATTGTTTTTGGACGGACACAAATTGTAAACAAGATTATTGTATTGGAACGGAGGGAGTAATATGTATACAAAATATATATGTATAGGTGTACTAGAGAGCATTTCAGTCAACGAAATATATCTAAATTAGTCAAAATTTTTATTCGGTGTAAAAGACAATTAAATATGTAATTTATATTTTTGGCCACTGATGTAGTTAGAATTACATATAAGTACAAACAAAGACAAAAAAAAAGTTAATATTATGAAAGACACAAATGTAATAACATATAGTCATTCGTACACTAAACTGCATATGTGTGCATTGATATTACCATACATATACCCCCGATCGGACCCATAACATAGTCTCCAAGTGGGAATACTTCAACACATGTGTTTGTTTGGGGGATTGGATTGGATTTATATTATTCATCCAATTTTTTTCTCTCAAAAATATCAAATCAAACCCCTATTTTTCATTTTTTATATTATATTAAAAATCAATTTTACATTCAAAACATCACGTCAACATCTATTTATATCACATCATCCAACTATTCAAATTCAAAATTTTTACTATTCAAATCCCAACTCAAAATCCAAACCCCCAAACAAACACATGTATAAGGGCTTGACAAAGCTCAAGCTACTTATAGCAAAGAGATAACATCTTCCCTTAGGGAACTTGTTCTTAAGTTCAGGCTCAGGTATATGCGTGTGCTAAATAAAAAAGTATAAAAATAAAAATAAACAAAATATGAAGAGGACAATAATGCCTATCTTAAGGCTGTATATATTAAATTGTATATAATAAATTGAGAATGAACTAAAAAAAAGAAAAAATAGTATATTTTTAACGGAATTTCGTTCCTAAAGTTTACGTAGCTAACGTAATTTCATCTCTAATTTCGTCTATAATATCATTAGTAATGGAAAAAGTAAATTTAGGAATAAAAAAACCTCATTACAAAAATTGATAATTTCTTATAGTGATGGTCCAAAAATGAAAATAGACATAAAACATATGATTTCAATCAACGCAACATGTGTTTTGATAAATTCTATATTGTTTATATTTATAAGGTTTCTGTATGAACAGATCTAATATGAATATTGTATAAATTATTATCATATATTGTTAGTTATACGTTATATATATTATATTAGCAAATTTTATGATATTCATTTATATTGTCAGTCTATATTTAAAGTGCTATCATATCATTCAACATGTTAACAAAAATCATATTGCTATATATTGGGTGGATTCACTCAAAGAAAATAAAAAAATAAAAAATAATCACGTTTTCCAACTAATATTAAAAAAAACATTTAATTCATATTCACACAATACATAATATCTATACTCTACTTATTCATAAAATAATAATAATTAAATATAAAATAATACTCTATATTTTTTTATACATTTGATACTCTTTCGTTGATTTAATTTAAAAATATTTTAAACTAAAAGTAATACAAAAAAACATCCATTATTTTTCAAAGTTTGGGTGTTGGGTTTGTTGGGAAAATTACAAAATATATTCTCCACTTAATTATCATTTTTATCTTTTTATTTATTTCACCGGCCAAATATATTCCAGTCACGTGTGGCCACGCGTAGAACAGTCGTTATGTGAATATAATGCGCGGCCAGATAACATAAATAATAACTTTTGCAAACGTGTAGAATGTAGTTTGCGAACACGATAAATAAAAGATAAAAATAATAATTTAGTATATGTAGATGATATTTTTTGCAATTTTTTTGAAAAATTAATGGTAAATTTTAAAGTAAAATAGTTGTTTAATTTGATGTATATATGTATTAATGTGATATTTTAAATGTATAATTAATTTTTAGTTAACATAAATTTAAAAAAAAATTATTTTATATTTTTGAAATGAAAATAAATTAGTAACATTGATAGTTGGAGTAAAACCCAGCAATAAAGGACAATTTTTTACCAAAAATAAATAAAAAGACACAATTAAAATTAAATAAAATGAAGAGGGTAGAATCTACTCACGAAAACAAATAATTTAAAATATCTTAGTATAATTGAATTTTTGTAATAGAATCAATTTAAAGTGCTTCACATTTCGAAATAATAACTTTATATCGATTTTTTGGTGGCAGTTAAGATGGTGATTACGTTAATCAATAGCATATTGATTAATTCTAATATATCATATTGTTTTCTAATCAAATGGTAGAGATGAGTGCAGGTAAAAATGTAATACTCCTTCCGTCTTTTAACAATTTATCTATTTTTTATTTTGGTCCGTCTCGTAACAAAGTATTCATTTCATTTTTTTAGTAATTTTACTATCTATCTAACATTACAAATACCCTTTTAATTTACAATATATTCCACAAATGTCATTAGTCTTTTTACTTTTATTTCTACTTTATCTCAATATAATACTAATATTTTTAAAACTCTGTGGAAAAAACAAATAAATATATAGATATGAGACGGAGGGAATATGAGTTAGAGGCCATTGTGATTCACAAACGCCAATTCTATATGCGTGGTGAATGGCGAAAACTACTCCTAGCAAACACCTCCTAAAAAAAACACCGGTAGCAACGGCGACGGCAAAAAATGAGTGGTTGTAGCAACAAAGGCAATGGAGGTTCTCAACAATGGCGGATCTAGAATGATTAGTTTAATAATTTTTTCAGCGCTGTCATCGGATGCTTTATTGAATAGAAATTGAGTCATCGTCATGGCGGCGACGGCGGTCACAGTCACTGTCAATGTCGTCGTTGTCTTCCTCCTGGGCTTGTAATCGGATGAATGTTCTCTATATTTTTTTTATTCTTAATATAGTTATAGAAAGAACATTGTAATTGCATAATTAGAGCATGAAATATATATTCAGAAAGTGTAACCTTATTATTTGCATAAATTATTTTTGTACTCTAACTAATCAAAGTCTGTATTTTCAATAAAAGAAAATTAATCATGTTAATTTTTTTTTTTAAAATGAGCGTCGTGATTGCATAATCAATATATAAAAAATATACCCAAAAAGCATCACCTTATTATTTTTCATAAGCTTTTCATGTACTATAACGAACCAGAATATGTGTTCTCCAAAACATAAAATTAATTATATTGATTTTTTTATATATATAAAAACACCGTGATTGCATAAATAGAGCATAAAATATCTTTTCTAAAAACACCACATTTTTGTTTGCATAGGCTCTTATATTGTATGGTCAATGACATAAAATGCTAATTATGTGATTTCACTGTGCACTTTTGAGGGATAATTATTTGTGTCTAAAATATAAAACTAATTGATAGGATATTAGCAAAGATGACGCTACAATAAAGAACAAAAATACCATACGAAAACAAAATTTTATCCCTCTTTCT